CCTCCCCTCCCTCCCCTCTTCTCCCCCTTTTCCCTCCCCTTCTTCTCTCTCCCCTCCCCTCCTTTCCCCCCCCCTCCTTCCCCTCCCCCCCCCTCTCTCCCCCCCCTCCTCCCTTTCCCCCTCCCCCTCCTTCTCCCCCTCTCCCTCTCCCCCTTCCCCCCCCCCCCCCCCCTCCCCCCCTCCCTCCCCCCTCCTCTCTCCCCTTCCCCCCCCCCTCTTCCTCTCTTCCCCCCTCCCCCCCTTCCCCCCCCCCCCCCCCCCCTCTCTTCCCTCCCCTCTCCCCTCCTTCCTCTCCTCCCCCCCCCCCCCTCTCTCTCCTCCTCCCTTCCCTCCTTTTCCCCCCTCTCCTCCCCCCTTCCCCCCCCTTCCCCTCTCCTCCCCCCCCCCCCCCTCCCTCCTCCCCCCTCCCCCCCCCCCCCCCCCTCCCCCCCCCCCCCCCCCCCCCCCCCCCCTCTCCTCCCCCCCCCCCCCTCCCCCCCCCCCCCCTTCTCTCCCTCCCTCTCTCTTCTCTCTCTCCCCCTCTCCCCTCTCTCTCCCCCCCCCCCCCCCTCTTCCCCTCCCCCCCCTCTCTTCCTCCCCCCCCCCCTCCTCCCCCCCTCCTCCTTCCCTCTTCCTCTCCCCCCCCTTTTCCCTCTCTCCTCCCCCCTCTCCTCCCCCCCCTTCCCCCCCCTCTTCCTCCCCCCCCCCTCCCCCTTCCTCCCTCTCTCTCTCCCCCCTCCTTCTTCTTCCCCCCTCTCCCCCCCCCCCCTCCCCTCTCCCCCCCTCCCCCCCCCCCCTCCCTTTCCCTCCCCCTCTCCTCTCCCCCCCCCCCTCCTCCCCCCCTTCCCCCCCCTCCTTCCTCCCCCCCCCCCCCCCCCTTCCCCCTCCTCCCCCCCTCCTTCTCCCTTCTCTCCCTCTCCCCCCTCTTCCCCCTCCCCCTCCCCTCTTCTCCTCCCCCCCTCTCCCCTTTCCCCCTCCCTCCTCTCCCTCCCCCTCCCCCCCCCCCTCCCCCTCCCCCCCCCCCCCCCCCCCCTTTCCCCCCCCCCTCTCCCCCCCCCCCCTCTCCCTCTTCCCCCCTCCTCTCTCCCTCTCTCTCCCCTCTCTCCCCTCCCCCTCCCTCCCCCCTTTTCTCCCCCTCCCCTCCCTCTTCTCTCTCCCCTCCTCTCTCCCTCTTCCCCTCCTCCCCTTTTTCTTTCCTCTCCCTCCTCTTCCTCCCCTCCTCCCCTCCCCCCCCCTTCCCTCTCTCCCCTCCCCCCTCCCCCTCTCCCCCCCCTCTCCTCTCCTCTCCTCCTCTCTCTCTTCCCCTCCTCTCCTCCTTTCCTCCCCTTCCCCCTCTCTCCCTTCCTTCCCCTCTCTCCCCCTCTCCCCCCCCCTCCTTCCCTCTCTCCTCTCCCCTCCCCTCCCCTTCCCCCCCCCCTCCTCCTCCCTCTCTCCTCCTCTCCTCTCCTCCCCCCCCTCCCCCCCCCCCCTCTCCCCCCCCCCCCCCCTCCCCCCCTTCCTCTCTTCCTTTTCTCCCCCCCCCCCCCCCTCTTCCCCCCTCTTTCTCCCCTTCTCCCCCCCTCTCTCCCCCCTCTCTCCCCCCCTCCGCTCTCTCCCCCTCCCCCCCTCTCTCCTCCTCTCCTTCTCTCTTTCTCCCCCCCTCCCCTCTTCCCTCCCCTCTCTCCTCTCCCCCCCCCCTCCCTCTTCTCTCTCTCTCCCCCCCCCCTCCCCCCTCTCTTCCTCTCCCCCTCCCCCCTCCCCCCTCTCCTCCCCCTCCCCCCCCTCCTCTTCTCTTCCTCCCTCCCCCCTCTCTCTCCCCTTCCTCTCCTTCTCCCCCTCTTCTCCCTCCCCCCCTCTCTCTCCCCCCCCCTCCCCCTCCTCTCCCCCCCCTCCTCTCCCTCCTCCCCTTCTTCCCTCCCCCCCCCTCCTCCCCCCTCCCCCCTTCTTCTCCCCCCTCCTTCCCCCCCCCCTCTCCCCTTCTTTTTCTTTCCCTCCCCTCCCTCCCCTCTCTCTCTCCCTCCCCTTCTCCCTCTCCTCTTCCCCCCCCCCCCCCCCCCTCCCTCTCCTCCCCTCTCCCCCCTCCCCCCCCCCCCTCCCCTCTCTTCCCCTCCCCCCCCCCTCTCCCCCCTCCCCCCCCCCCCCCCCCTCCCCCCCTCTCTTCCCCTCTCCCCCCTCTCTCTCCCCTCCCCCTCCCCTCCCCCCTCTTCTCCCCCCTCTTTTCCCCTCTTCTTTCCCCCCTCCCTCTTCTTCTTCCCTTCCCCCCCTCCTCTTCTCTCCCTCCCCTCTCCCCCCTCCCCCCCCCTTTTCCCCTCTTCTCTCCCCTCTCTTCCTCCCCCCTTCCCCCTCCCCTCCTCCCCCCCTCCCTTCCCTCCTCTCTCCCCTCCCCCTCCCCTCCCCCTCCCCTTCTCTCTCTTCTCTCCCTCTCCCCTCCCCCTCCCCCCTCTCTCCCTCCCCCCTCCCCCTCCCTCTCTCCTCCCCCCCTCTCTTTTCCTTCTCTTTTTCCCTCCCTCTCCCCCCTCTCTCCCTTTCTTTCTCCTCCTCCCCCCCCCCCCCCCCCCCTCTCTCCCTCCCCTCTCCCCTTCTTCCCCCCCCCCCCTCTTCTCTCCTCCCCTCCCCTCTCCCCTTTCCTCCCCCCTCTCTCTCCTTCTCTTCTCCCCCCTCTCTCCTCTCTCCCCCCCCCTTTCCTTCTCTTCTCTTCCTCCTTCTCTCCCCCTTTCCCCCCCTCTCTCCTCCTCCCCCCCCCCCTCTCTCTCTTTCCCTCTCCCCTCTCCCCCCCCCCCTCTCTCTCCCTCCCCCTCCCCTCCCCCCCTCTCTCTCTCCCCTCCTTCTCTCTCTTCCCCCCCCCCCCCCTCTCCCTTTCCCCCTCCCCTCTCTCTTCCCCCCCCTCCTCTCTCCCCCTCCTTTTCCCCCCCTCCCCCTCCCCCCCTCCCCCCTCTCCCCTCCCTCCCCTCCCTCCCCCCCTCCTCTCCCTTCCCCCCCTCTCCCTCCCTCCTCTCCCTCTCTCCTCCCCTTCCTCCCTCTCCTCCCCCCCTTCTCCCCTTTCCTTCCCCCCCCCCCCTTCTTCCTCTCCCCCTCTCTCCTCTCCCCCCCCCCCTCTCTCCTCTCCCTCTTCTCTCCCCCCCCCCCCTCTCTCCCCTCTCTCCCTCCCTCCTCTCTCTCTCCCTCCCCCTTCCTCCCCCCCTCCCCCCTCCTTCCCCCCCCCCCCCTCCCCCTTCCCCCCCCCCTCCTCTCCCCCCTTCCTCCCTCTCTCCCTCTCTCTCTCCCCTCTCTCCCCCCCTCCCCCCTTCCCCCTCCCCCCCCCCCCCCCCCTCTCCCCCCCTTTCTCCTCTCCCTTCCCCCTCCTTTTTCCCTCCCCCCCTCTCCTCCCCCCCCCCTCTCCTCCCCTCCCCCTCCTCCCCCCCCCCCCCCCTCCCTCCTCTCTCTCTCCCCCCCCTCCCCCCTCCTCCCTCCTCCCTCCCTCCCCCCCCCCCCCCCCTTTCCTTCCCCCCTCCCCCCCTCCCCCCCCCCTCCCCCCCCCCTCCCCCCCCTCCTCCCCCCTCTCTCTTCCCCCCCTCCCCCTCTCTCTCCCCTTTCTCCCCCCCCCTCCCCTCCCCCCCTCCCCCTTCCCCCCCCCCCCCCCCCCTCTCTCCCCCTCCTCCCCTCCCCCCCCCCTCTTTCCCTCCTCTTCTCTCCCTCCCCTCCCCCTTCCTCCCTCCTCTCCTCTCCCCCTCTCTCCCCTCTCCCCTCTTCTCCCTCCTCTCCCCCCCCTCCTCCTTTCCCTCTCCCTCCTCTCCCTCTCTCTCCCCTCTCCTCCTCTCTGTCTCCTTTCCCCCTCTCCCCCTCTTCCCCTTCTCTTCTCTCCTCCTCTTTTCCCCCCCCCTTCTCTCTCCCCCTTTTCTCCCCCCTCTCCTCCTCCCCCTCTCTCTCCCTTTCCCCCCCTCCCCTCCTTTCCTCCCCTCTCCCTCCCCCCCCCCCCTCCCTTCCCCCCCCTCTCCCCCCCTCTCCCCCCCCTCTCTCCCCCCCCCCCTCTCCCCCTCCCCCCCCTCTCCTCCCCCTCTCCTCTCTCCCCCCCCTCCCCTCCTCCCCCTCTCCCTCTCTCTTTCTCCCCCTCTCTCTCCCTCCTCTTTCTCTCCCCTCTCCCCCCTCTCCCCCCCCCTCGTCTCTCTCTCTCTCTCGTTTCCCCTCCCCTCTCCTCCCTCTCCTCTCCCCCTTCTCTCTCTCCCCCCTCTCTCCCCCTCTCTCTCCTCTCCCCCCCTCTCTCTCTCGTCCCCCTCCCCCTCTCTCTCTCCTCTCTCCCCCCCCCCCCCTTCTCTCTCCCCCTCTCCTCTCTCGCCTCTCTCCCCTCTCTCTCTCTCCCTACTCTCCCCTCTCTCTCTCTTCTCTCCCCGCTCTGCTACACCACAGAGCCCTATCTGGCAGGTGAGGACACCTGATTTTTCTCTGCTACAGTTAAGTAGCCTCCACAGGTCATGTCCTTCCCTTAGCCTGCGACTGAAGAGTGCACACTTAGTAGTTCATCTCTCTGCCACTCTGCTCTCTCGTATCAGCACGCTGTTTGTTAGCACACGAGTACTGCAACATAGCTGAGCTTTCCTGAACGGGGGACTGCATGAAGCGGATGCCAAGTCTGTCCGTAGAAGTGTATAATCTTTCCTTCTGTAGCAATGCTTGGAGGATCTTGATACCTAAGTCTGCCCAAAAATATATATTTTGGGGGGAGCCTGTGAACAATGTCTCACTGTTGTGCATTCAATGTCGTGAAGAATCCAAGAGGAAGATGAGCCCTTTTCTTGGTGGATAAGGCATAAGGATGCAGCTGGGAACTTTGAGAGTTCTGAAGTTATTTAGTGTATTTGCCCTTCAACATAACCCCCATTGTATGTGGTCAGTACATATCATTCATTCCATCTCTTCACAAGAGACATTGGTAGTGGAGAGTGTCAGCTTTTTAATAATGGTTTCATAAAACCCTGCAGTTCCTTGATTATAGGAAAAGGTGACATCCATAGGGTTATGCCATCACGTGATTCATGGACTGTAAACCTGTATTCTCTCAATTACAGCCTGTACGGAGACAGTCACTGCCCCCGCCTCCCCCGAACACCATTACCTGGGAAGAGTACATGTCTGCAGAGAGTGGAAAGTAAGTTTCTTTTTTGTGTTTTTTTTTTTTTTTTTTTATAAAGAATAGCCCACTTCTACTTTCCTAATCATTTTTTTTTTTTGCCTTAACCACTTCCAGCCCCAGACCAAGTAGTCATTTCTCGCCTCAAAATCATAATTTTTTGCTAGAAAATGACTCGGAACCCCCAAACAATATAAATGTATATTCACTTTAAAAATGTTTACAGGTTACCAGTTTACAGTTACAGAAGAGGTCTAGCACTAGAATTATTGATCTTGCCATAGCAATTGAGGCAATACCTCACATGTATGCATGTGGTTCAAATGCCGTTTACAGATGTGGGCGCAACCTGTTTATGTGTTTGCTTCTGCATGCGCGAGCACAAGGGGATGGGAGCGCTTTACAAAATATATATATTTTTTTTTTAACCCTTTCCCTTTAATAACTTTTTTTAATCCCTAATCATTCATATTTCAAGGAATGTAAGCATCCCTTGTAATAAGAATAAGGCATGACAAGCTCTCTTTATGGAGAGATGTGGGGTCTAGAAGACCCCAGATCTCTCCTTTATGCTGGAAAGCATGAGCTAAAAAAAAAAAAAAAAAATCATCTCCAGGCTTTCCAGTAAAAAAAACTGGCCGTGTTTATGCCTTGACGTCGCTCCCAGCCTCCCAGGATCATAGAGACGGCCAGGGACCATCTGGTAATCCGGGGCTTCCAGGTCAGATCTCCGGTTTGACAATCGCACGGAAGAGCATAGAGAGGTTGGGGGGGGGGGGGGGGGAGAAACGCCCCCTTCCTGCTGCCTGTAAAAGCAATCCAGCAGCTAATCAACCCCTAGGATGGCTTTTACTAAAGAGGGACTCACTAGCTGAAAACAATATCTAGATAATACCTGTAGCTGCAAGCATCATCCAAATATCTCCTCTCAAACCCCGGGACATGATATGATATCCACGGGGGGGGGGGGGGAGTGGTTAAACCCCTTCCTAAGCCTTTTTAAGTTACCTTAAACCACCGCCATTTGACCATATGATACCTCTTCTGGGACTGGGGACTGGAAATCCACCTTAATCCTACAAAACTGCCATTGTTGAATTTTAGGGTGTGCGCTCAGGTACTGTTATGGTTTCACCCTTCACTGTGTGGTGAGTCCATGACTTGGAACAAATGTGTAAGTCGGTTTCAGGTACCTTCAATGGCTGCATCCTTGTTAGTGACTCACTAAGAAGTGAACAAGGGTACGGATGACCTGCCCACACATTATATCTTTTTTAAAAAAAAAACATATTTAACAAATCAGAATTTTGTATTGAGTTCATTTATAGTAGATAGAATAATGCTGAACATTTTCCTGTTGTAAGTGGATCCTGCTATTTGTATTGTAAAATAAATCCCTATGATGGAGGCAGATATTTAGATTTCACGATGGAGGCCTTTACTTTTTCTGAAAATACATGACGGCACCCAGGGACTCTGCCTTTTGGAAGTTTATCTTTGTTGAGCACTGTGTGTATCTTCAATCCCTTGTATTTAGGGCTCCCCATCTTGGAAGAGAACTTGTCTGCAAAGAGAACAAGAAAACCTTCAAAGCAACGATTGCTGTGAGCCAGGACTTCCCTCTAGGAATTGAATCGTAAGTGTCCCCTTATTCTGGTGCAGCACATTCTATATTACTATCTGTAAGTGTGGGTGCGCTGCCGGATTCAGCAGGAACCAGCTGACTGGTGTGTACTCTTCTCTGTTCAACAGAAGCTGGTTTCTGTCAAAATGTCATGCTGGAAAACCATTCGGTCAGGCTGGAGGCATTATTGATGAGCGAGCAATGCCTTCTGCGGGCTGAAGGTTTATGTTGGCCACTTCCGCTCCAGACGTTTTTACGCCCTTCATGACCAGGCCACTTTTTTGCTGTACCGCACTGCGCTACTTTAACTAGTAATTGTGTGGTCATGCAATGCTGTTACCTAATTAAGCAAGCAATTATCAGGGCAGCCCCAAAAGTGCCCATCAGTGAAGGAGAAAAACTACTACTTTTCTTGGCTTCTATTATGTAATTTTGCATTTTTTGTTTTTCTTTAAACATACTGTCACTGATGTAGTACAGCGTCATACAGGGTGCGGCAACATAACTTCCTTTTTTCAAAACGCAATAAAACCCATTTTATGAATCAGAATTGTTTTTATTGCCTTTAATGTAGGTACATATCTAAAGTTCTGTTTTACACAGTTTTGAAAATCATATCAGGTGGGTGACGCCCCCCATTGTCCATACACTGAATAAGCTGATTTCTGGCGTTTTTCATGACCTTTACCAGCATAGCAGCGGGTATGTTGGCAATTTCTGCGCGGATGTTGTCCTTCAGGTCTTATAGGGTCCTTGGACGGTTTACATAAACGCGGGATTTCAAAAAAACCCCACAAAAAAAGTCGCAAGGGGCCAAATCGGGGGAGCGGGCTGGCCACTCCAAATCGCCCCTTATTGAGATGAGGCGCTCCGGGAAGTGTTCCCTTAAAACAGCCATTGATGCTCTTGAAGTGTGAGCCGTTGCTCCGTCCTGTTGGAACCAAATGTCCCCTAAGTCCAATTCATCAAGTCGTGGAAAAACAAATTCCTCCAACATGTTCACATACCAGTCTGAATTCACTGTCACTGTGACCTCATTTTCTTCAAAGAACCAGGGACCAATAATCCCAGCTGAGGCATTTGCACACCACACTGTGACTTTAGATGAATGCAAAGGCCTTTGATGCAATTCTCAAGGATTGGTGTCGGTCCAGTAGCGCATGTTCTGTTTGTTGATGCATCCAGTCAAGTGAAAATGGGCTTCATCACTGTAAAAAATAATTGCGTCCTCAGGGACGTTTTTGAGTACTGCCTCACATGCGTTCTTCCGAGAATTGAAGTCGCGTTCGGAGAGTTCCTGCACAATCGCCAACTTGTACGGATGGTAATGAAGGTCATCGTGAAGAATTCGCCTCACTGAAAGATCCGAAAGTACAAGGGCAGACGCATGTTTACGCGCAGAACGCTGCGGGGATCGCAAGATTGAAGCTCTCACTGCTTCGATGTTCTCAGGTGATCTGATGGGTCGAGGGACTCCAGCTCTTCATCATGTCGTACTCGCGGTTCCAACGCATGATGATGATGACTGACCTGGAAGAGAACAAAACTTTAGAACTACGCCTGTCGCCTCAGACCACTCCCCCGCCCCGCTATGGCCGCTACAGCCTGAATGGCACGCATTGCAAAAAAGGAAGTTATGTTGCTGCACCCTGTATAACTGGTGATCAGGGACAATGGTGAGAATTTTTTTTTTTTTAATCCATTTTTAACCCTGTGACCAGAGCAATACAGTGTTAGAAAGTTTTTTTTTTTTTGTTTTTTGTTTTTTTTTTTAATGAATGCTTATATCAGTGAATTTTATTTTTACTTAATAATTGAGTACTGTCCGTGATACTTTTTTTATTTGCACTAACATACAACTTTGAGGACAAGCTTTCAGGGAATGTCCCCTTCTTCAGGTCCAAGCAGTGCTGATCACAATGTTTTTTTAGCAGAATGTTAGAAGAGATGTAGGGGATGGGGGGGAAAAAAAAACCCCAGAGATAAGACACAGCAAAAGTAAAGTCTGGGGGGGAGACAACACTCACAGAGGCAGTCATGCTTGAGGTGATAGTCATAAAACTGTTAGATGATGATTGAGGAATCCCATGTCCAAATTCAGGCCGTTATCTCTTGTGTCAAATACAATTATTCTTAGCTCAAAAGTTTTTCTTTCCTGAATGGATTTGAAATTTTAAGCGCTAAAATATTGAGGTCTCCCATAGTGTGGTCTGGTTGTGCGAAATGGTGTCCCAAAGGTGTGCAAAATCACCTCAATGACTATCACCTCAAGCATGACTGCCTCTGAGAGTGTTGTCTCCCCCCCCCAGACTTTGCTTTTGCTGTGTCTTATCTCTGTTCTTTTTTTTTTTTTTTTTTTTTTTTTTTTTTTTTTTTTTCCCCCCATTCCCTGCATCTCTTCTAACATTCTGCTAAAACATTGTGATCAGTACTGCTTGGACCTGAAGAAGGGGACACTCCCCGAAAGCTTGTCCTCAAGATTGTATGTTAGTGCAAATAAAGTATCACGGACAGTACTCAATTGTTTTTCTGTCGCAAATGCACTAATACGGCTACAATCACCTCAAGCATTTTTACTTAATGAAACTGATTAACTCAGTATATATTGTGGTTAGCTGTGATTGGCCACAGTTAATCACATGGTACGGATGGGCTGTGATTGGCTGTCCGTACCATGTGATAGCAGTGATTCATCACAGTGAACAACACAATTGTAAGCAAAAGAATGACATGAAAGGAAGCCATTCATTGTTTACAATGGTTGGTCACAGCAATCACATGATACCGGCAGTGGGCCAGTACAGCGATCAGTCATCGGTGACAGATCGAGCCACAGCGCAGCCCCACAGCTGCCAGCAAGGCACGTTCCTGGAGGACGTCGTATGAATTCCACCCGGAATGGCAAAAGTCCCACCTATCCGTCATATTGCAATAGGCTGGGCGGGAACTGGTTAAAAGACGAGTGGAAAAGTGACATTCTGACATTTTATAAGCCATTTAGTTCACCTGCTTTGTTGGTTCCTTCTCTATATTGAGGTTTTAGATGCAATCGATCCTTTGTATAGATCTGCACATTTTAGGGACTATATAAACACAAGAAAAATATTTCCTTTTCTTACAGACTGCTGAATGTTCTAGAAGTAATTGCACCTTTCAAGCACTTTAACAAACTTCGAGAATTTGTACAGATGAAGCTTCCTGCAGGTTTCCCTGTAAAACTAGGTAAGTAACGTTCGATAAATAAATGAACACACAACACATAATAGATATAGTGTTATAGCGGCGCTAAATTAATAATAAAGTGATATAGTGAATGCCACAAAATGAATGTGAACCATGAAACAAAGTAAACATCCGTGATTAACATGCTCACAAAATAATATAAAATAGAATTGTGATGATCCCAGAGTCCATAAAAATTATAATATAGTGATCCAAAGTCCATAAACTTATTTCTTGTCCTTTAAATTCACCACGTGCTTTTATCTGATAACCGAGCGCTTCACCTCACGTGGCACATGGATGTACACTCACCACAGATAATTGCCTTCCACTCTCGTGGTTGGCAAACCAGCTTCCTGGGATATTCTTCCCAATTATAGGCGATGCTTATACATTGCATAAGAATGAAACTCCACTGCCTGGAGATATACCATGTAAAACACAGAGCAACGCTCCAATGGTATAGTATAAAACCAAGATCCTATAATTTAATGAATGGACATTAATCACCAGCAAACGAGTATAAAAATGCCCCAATCATTTGACCATGGATAAGCCTGAAGTGATCATAGACCAGGTGCTCTCACCACCTCCGGATTGTTGGGAACTAACGCTGTTGTGTCACTTCCGGTCACGGTCTGACACATTGGGGTTTATTTACTAAAGCTGGAGAGTGCAAAATCAGACTCCCTTCTGCATAGAAACCAATCGGCTTCTAACCTCAGCTTGTTCAATGAAGCTTTGGCAATGAAACCTGGAAGCTGATTGGTTTCTATGCAGAAGTGAGTCTGATTTTGCACTCTCCAGCTTTAGTAAATAAACCCCATTTCGTCACTTCCGGTCGCCGCACCGTCACGGGCTGACGCATTTCGTCACTTCGTCGCCGCACCGTCACGGGCTGACGCATTTCGTCACTTCCGGTCGCCGCCGTCACCGTCACGGGCTGACGCATTTCGTCACTTCCGGTCGCCGCACCGTCACGGGCTGACGCATTTCGTCACTTCCGGTCGCCGCACCGTCACGGGCTGACGCATTTCGTCACTTCCGGTCGCCGCACCGTCACGGGCTGACGCATTTCGTCACTTCCGACTCGCTCATAGGGGTGACGGTTCGGCGTGTTGCTCTTTATAGAGCCGAGAATTGGAGAGAAAACAACACCCATTTGGTCAGTTTCAACATTTACCTCCAAACAGGAAGTGAGATGGGAACCTGGTGGAAGTTCCCCCAATGTAACAGTACAACTATGGGCAAAACAAATGTATTTTTGGGCAAAACAAAATATATACAAAATATAACTAATACAGGAACTCCATATGGCATATGTAGTCATATAGACATGTATGGCAATCTACATAGGATATACATATAAAATATTAAAATTATACATATTAAACAAATGAAAATGAGTTTAAAATTATAATAAAAATGAATTCAATCAATAACCCAAACTTGGATCAATATTTCAAAATTAGAAAATAAAGAAATATTTTAAATTTGGAATTTAAAATTAATAAAGCCAATTAATACATAATAAAACAGACATAAGAGACGATAATAATATACTAAAATAACATAACTATCTAGATTTTTTTTTTTTTCTTTTTTAGACACTAATTGCTTTTGCAGCAAGTGAGGCTGAAAGAGCAATCATTTCTCTCTCTGGCTGCATTCCTGAAGCCATTGAGAAATGCTGTGAGAGTTGTGATTGGTCACAGCTTATCACGTGGCACAAGGCTGTGGTGAATGGCTTTTGTACCATGTGATCTCTGTGATTGATCAGAGCTCACAGTAGAAAACCATCATGCCAGGAAATGGCATCTTGTTTACTACTGTACATGTGATCACTGAATGGCTAATTGGCAATCACATGGACTTTTTTGGACTTTGTAAAAGCAATAGCTGAGTTTGCACATTTTGGATGGTCTATACATATTCCCTGTATCAGGATTTAGTGCTAGCTGCCATGTCACACAAATTTTTTTTGAACTAGCACAGATTTTCTCAAATGGTTTGATGATCACATGGTACTGAGGCCAACACAGTGGCCCGGTACCGTGATCCGTGTTCTGCTGTGTCCGATGGATGCAGCGGACACAGATCGCGCCACTGTGTCCGCCCCATCGGCACTGATCCCATCCGGCCCTTTATGTGGATGAGCCAGATGGGGAGAGGTTAACAGTAGCCTTGAGAGGAAACACCTGAACTCCATTTTGAGGCATTGTCCACTATGAGCCATATAGAGGATGTGTATTGGTCAAGTTACATAGTTAGTCTGGCTGAAAAAAAGACAAGCGTCCATCCAGTTCAACCATAGAAAAAAAAGTTATAATCCTACACCCACAGTTGATCCAGATGAAGGCAAAAAAAAAAAAAAACCCCAGCAAGGCATGATCCAGTTTGCTCCTACAGGGGAAAAAAAATTCCTTCCTGATCCCCCGAGAGGCAATCGGATATTCCCTGGATCAACTTTACCTATAAATGTTATATTCTGTGTATCCAAGAAAGAATCCAGGACTTTGTTAAAGAAATCCACTGAGCCGGCCAGAACCAACTCTTGAGGGAGTCTATTCCACATTCTCACAGCTCTCACTGTGAAGAAACCTTTCCGTGTTTGGAGATTACATTTCTTTTCCTCCAGATGTAAAGAGTGCCCCCTTGTCCTCTGTGATATAACTAGAAATGATGTAGCGCTAAACCAAAAACGATCATATCAGGCCCATGGACAATCTGACATCATGATGAGATCATATATATATATATATATATATATGGAAAGAACAAATTAGTGCGTGATAAAACTAGAAAATGAGATGAAACAAATGTGCAACCCCTGCACACAGTGCACATAAATAAAATGTGTCAATTCCTCCACTCATACAGAATCCATGGGCTATGTGTAGACCCGCACACCACCAAGTGCAATCCAAAAATGGCTGGAATGGCCTCTCACCTCCTCCCTGCGACCCTGCAGGGCCACAGAGCTTTATATATCCCCACTGTGTCAGAATAAGCTTCCTCTTGAGCGGATGGCTTCAGTGTTGTGTCCCCAGTATACTGCTTCCACCTCTCCTATGATATCCTCAGAGGTCAGCTGAGCAGGGTGAATCCCAGCTCAAACCCCAATAGGACAAAGGAAGCAGAAGACATCCTCCATAGTGTAAAATCGTTCTAATAAGATGAAATAAAATACTTGTGTACACTCACATTTGCCAGATGAAATACAAGCTGATACCCATACCATGGGTGTAAGCGTGTGGCTGAAGGGTGTTCCAAGATGGCGATATCATCCAAGATGGTGTATATCATTTTGTCCTCTGTGATGACCTCAGGGGGAATAGAGTCTCAAGTGTCTACAAATGTTTCCGCACATTTTACATGCTTTCCCAAACTCTTTTCTTGGTCTGCAGATATCCCTGTATTCCCAACCATCACAGCCACTGTAACGTTTCAAGAGTTCCGCTATGGAGAATTTGAGGAGTCCATCTTTACGATACCGGATGACTACAAAGAAGATCCAAGCCGTTTCCCCGACTTATAAAGACGTCTCACAGAGGATATGGATGTAGAGTACGATTCTGTGCGGGGAAAATCCGACGAGATTCCTTAAGCAAATCGCAGAGGCTCTGCGTTTTCTTTTGTATTGCAAGCGAACCGCTTCTGATCTCTCGTAATCTGTGATCCATTACCTCTAGGATTGATAACCAGCTGCACAGTCCGGCAAGCCAGGGGCATTATGGGACAATCTCAATACCCCCCACCCTTCTTCACACTTCCCTTTTCTCAGTTTAATTCCTCACTGCAGCTGCGGATCATCCAATTGTGTTCAAGGACTTTTTTTGACACTCAAATCTTGTATAATTCCACCTTCTATTTTAGGGTGAACTTTTAAATAATCTTTTTCCATAAATTATACTCTATGTAATATTATGTATAGATTCCTGTTTGCTGGATATATATATATAAAATAGAAGGCGTGTCCTTCTGTAGTCTACTTAAAACATTTACTGAATACACTGAATACATCAGTGCAGACCATCACACCCACCGGGGAGGCCAGACACCTGGCTCCAAAGTGGGTGCAACTTTTTTTTTTTTTTTTTTTTTAACACATTGACATTTTTACTTAACTTTTTTCCTTTTTTTTTTCTATTTAACAAGAAATGTAATTGACCTTTTTATTGGCAGAAGCATCAGGTTTTTTTTTTTTTTTTTTTGGGTTTTTTTTTTTTTTTTTTGTTTTTTCTTTTTTTTCTTTTTGTTTTTTTTTTGCATTTTTTTTTGTTCTTTGTGTGTTTTTTTTTTTTTTTTTTCCCCCCCCCCTCCCATAACCACCTGGGACGCAAGTGTCACCGTTACAGGCTGTGTTGAGTTGTTCTTTGATCAGTGCATAGATTTTCGTCATCATATGCTGGAAAGGGTTATATTAATTTTGTTTCAGAAGCCAGGCTGTCTCTGGAACGGGGTAACCGCTATCATGCAGCAGCTAGTTAAACAAGCTTTAAGGGGCTTTTTAAAGGTCTATGAAAAGGGACAGAACACGCTTGTGTAAAATGTTTTACTAGACAACCTCCTAACCTGTTTTATAATATTGCAATATTAGTCTGCTTGCTGGGAATTTTTAGTAAACACAAAAATTCCCTGGAAAAAAAAAAATGTGCTTTTCTTTTAAAGGACTGCGTTTTTATCATAAAATAATTACAAAAGGAAAAAAAATGCCAACGGTACTGTATGTTGATGGAAATTTCTTCCATGTGGTTTCCAGTAAGATCTGTGACCTTGCTGGGATGGAAACCTTTATAACGGACATATATGTATTTCACTCAGTGCACCCTGGGTAATATGAAGCAGATTTTCAGGCTCACAAGTCAGGTCTTCCAAAATGTTGCTTTTTACTGAAAGGGAACGAAGAGTCCGTTACCCCCTCACCCTGCCGCATTGAAGGTTGTCCCCGACTCCCCCATCACTGCAGAGATCTTTTTACTGGAAGATGTACACTTTGTCATACTTTTTGTTTTGCTGTTTGTTTTGTAACTAGTAAACAAGTTAATGATAACCATTTCTTGCTGGAACCACACCTAGTACTGGTTTAATTAAACAAAGATCAATCTGTTTTAATTGGCTTGTGTGCATTATTTCTCAGATTTTGTGTTTTTTAGAAATTTATTAAAGCAGACATGTCTTATCCACTTGCCCTCTGGAAGATTTACCCCCAGTTCCTGACCAGGCCATTTTTTTTTTTTTTTGTGCTGTAGGGCTCTGCGCTTCTTTCACTAACAATTGTGCAGTCATGGAACACTGTACACAAATGAAATTTTTATTTTTTTTCACACAAATAGACCTTTCTTTTGGTTGTATTTGATCACCACTGGGTTTATTTTTTGCGATCTAAACCAAAAACATAGCAAAAAGTAAAAAAAAAAATGATATAAGACATCCAAAAAAAAAAAAAAAAAAAAAAAAAAAAAAAAAAAAAAAAAAAATCTTCATAAATTTAGGCCAAAAGGTATTCTGCTACGTCTTCAGTAAAAAAAAAAAAAAAATACCAATAAGTGTATATTAACTGGTTTGCGTGAAAATCGAGTCTACAAACTTATGGTATGCTGGATTTTTTTAAAAAAATTTTTTTATACTAGTAGTGATGATCAGCAAATTATTGTGGGACTGATAGTGGCAGTCAGTCAGCTCCCACCCAGTGTCAGTGTCACTGGAGATGTCAGTATGGTAGGCATTCTAATACAATGATCAGTGCCAATAAAAAAAAAAAGCAGTCATTTCTACGAAACAGGTTAACATCTATGTCAGAGATGTCAAACTAGCGGCCCTCCAGCTGTTGCGAAAGTACAAGTCCCATCATGCATCTGCCTTTAGGAGTCATGCTTGTAACTGTCAATCTTGCAATGCCTCATGGGACTTGTAGTTTGGCAACAGCTGGAGGCCGCCAGTTTGACACCTATGATCAAAACTGGCCGCATTATGGAATGTTATGGGTGTGTACTGTTTTACTGGGGACCTGCTGGTTTTTATTCCTTGCTTTGCAGGAAGATAAAAACTGGCACATCCCCGCTGACCGAACGTTCTGTTGCATTCACAGATATCTCTGCTGTCAGTTGCTCTGCCGATTGCTGTATCTTGGCCAGTGACATGCAAGGAAGCCAATGACAGCGCAGGCAGGCAGGTGCATGCATGCTCCTTACCCAGAAAAGTGGAATTGCGCATATATATATATATATATATATATATATATATATATATATATATATATATATATATATATATATATATATATACAGTCAGGTCCATAAATATTGGGACATCGACACAATGCTAACATTTTTGGCTCTATCCACCACCACAATGGATTTGAAATAAAACGAACAAGATGTGGGTTAACTGCAGACTGTCAGCTTTAATTTGAGGGTATTTACATCCAAATCAGGTGACCGGTGTAGGAATTACAACAGTTTGCATATGTGCCCCCCACTTGTTAAGGGACCAAAAGTAATGGGACAGAATAATAATCATAAATCAAACTTTCACTTTTTAATTCTTGGTTGCAAATCCTTTGCAGTCAATTACAGCCTGAAGTCTGGAACGCATAGACATCACCAGACGCTGGGTTTCATCCCTGGTGATGCTCTGCCAGGCCTCTACTGCAATTGTCTTCAGTTCCTGCATGTTCTTGGGGCATTTTCCCTTCAGTTCTGTCTTCACCAAGTGAAATGCATGCTCAATCGGATTCAGGTCAGGTGATTGACTTGGCCATTGCATAACATTCCACTTCTTTCCCTAAAAAAAACTCTTTTGTTGCTTTTGCAGTCTGCTTTGGGTCATTGTCCATCTGCACTGTGAAGCGTCCAATGAGTTGTGAAGCATTTGGCTGAATATGAGCAGATAATATTGCCTGAAACACTTCAGAATTCATCCGGCTGCTTTTGTCAGCAGTCACATCATCAATAAATACAAGAGAACCAGTTCCATTGGCAGCCATACATGCCCACGCCATGACACTACCACCACCATGCTTCACTGATGAGGTGGTATGCTTAGGATCATGAGCAGTTCCTTTCCTTCTCCATACTCTTCTCTTCCCATCACTCTGGTACAAGTTGATCTTGGTCTCATCTGTCCATAGGATGTTGTTCCAGAACTGTGAAGGCTTTTTTACATGTCGTTTGGCAAACTCTAATCTGGCCTTCCTGTTTTTGAGGCTCACCAATGGTTTCCATCTTGTGGTGAACCCTCTGTATTCACTCTGGTGAAGTCTTCTCTTGATTGTTGACTTTGACACACATGCACCTACCTCCTGGAGAGTGTTCTTGATCTGGCCAACTGTTGTGAAGGGTGTTTTCTTCACCAGGGAAAGAATTCTTCAGTCATCCACCACAGTTGTTTTCCATGGTCTTCCGGGTCTTTTGGTGTTGCTGAGCTCACCGGTGCATTCCTTCTTTTTAGGAATGTTTCAAACAGTTGTTTTGGCCACGCCTAATGTTTTTGCTATCTCTCTGATGGTTTGTTTTGTTTTTTCAGCCTAATGATGGCTTGCTTCACTGATAGCGACAGCTCTTTGGATCTCATCTTGAGAGTTGACAGCAACAGATTCCAAATGCAAATAGCACACTTGGAATTAACTCTGGACCTTTTATCTGCTCATTGCAATTGGGATAATGAGGGAATAACACACACCTGGCCATGGAACAGCTGAGAAGCCAATTGTCCCATTACTTTTGGTCCCTTAACAAGTGGGAGGCACATATGCAAACTGTTGTAATTCCTACACCGTTCACCTGATTTGGATGTAAATACCCTCAAATTAAAGCTGGCAGTCTGCAGTTATAGCACATCTTGTTGTTTCATTTCAAATCCATTGTGGTGGTGTATAGAGCCAAAAATGTTAGAATTGTGTCCATGTCCCAATATTTATGGACCTGACTGTATATGTGATTGTGCACAGGGCGGCCGTTCTGTAGCAGTAAATCTACAATGGGCCAGTCGCCAAGTAGTTTAGTTTATATGCAGAAATAGTATTGGTGTAAAGAAATATGTTCTTAAGCTCCAGTCAGCGATTTTGCTGCAGTCAGTATTCCCTCCCTCCTGTGGTCAGACTATTCCCTCCTCTCCTGTGGTCAGACTATTCCCTCCTCTCCTGTGGTCAGACTTCAAGACTGTAACTTTGTGGAAAGTCACAAGGTGCGTGGCTGAAGGAAAGGTGGATCAGTTTCAGACATTCTTGATGCAGCCAAGCACTGCGCCGGCACCAGGATTTATATGAAATGCATAGTGACCCTGCATGATGCCTGGAAAGAGATGGCTTTGTCCTTCTGGAGAGAAAAGCAGAGGGTATGATAATAGAGAGCACTTCATTACTATTGAGGTTTTTATAGATTTGTTAATTGTCTGAATTGTCAGTGAAAAGGCTACAAGTTGTTAGTCGTCAAGCTTTTCACACAATAATATATGGGGGGGGGGGGGGAATCTAATCAGTGTTGTGAAAAAGTATTTGCCCCCTTCCAAGAGCAGTTGCTCCAGAGCTTAGTAAAT